ACTATAGTCAGAATTTTAATTAGATTCCAGATTTGACAATAGCTACTGTCATTTTGTGAAATAATGATACCACATATAATAGTGTAGTGATGAACACAAAAATCGATAAACAATCAGTGTGTGTTTTATAATAAATATTACAGAAAGTGACAGGATAGCGATAGCGATGACGGCGACAATTTATAGAATAACTTATTACCATAATACATCTATCTGTTTTATTTGTCATGTTCCTTCATGATTACATTTTTTTATTTATTTCACACACAATTATAAAAGAAAAGTCTCAGATCGTTTATTAATTGTCAAAACTAAATTATCGTTTCAGAAATATTTAATTTCATGATATACATAGTTTACAAGAGTAAAATTATAAACGAGAAGAATCGATACAGAAATATTGCATTTCCATATCGAATAATTTCGCAACGTCACTATTTAGTACTTGTCATAACGTTGCAACACTGAAATTGTCAAATCTGAAATCGAATTAAAATTTCGAGTACCTATAGTGCATCAATCTATTATAGGTAAGCACACCATGCGTTATATACTAAATGGTTTACAAATCACTATGATCAGAGACAGGCAAATCCTAGTTCTAGGTTCGGTCTCTGTACCATCCAGTACATGTACAAAGTTGGCTTCAACCGTTGAAGCGGTGGTTGGGGAAACAACTGCCGTTGAACGTGTAGCGGCTTCTGTACCCGCACGGAGCAACGCTTTGTGTGGTCCACAAATTGTTCTGTATTCTACAAAGGCTGCAGGCCCGTAACCGCGATGGGTCTTGAGTCCTTAGATTAAGCAGAACTCAGAATTACAAAAATTTTATATATAATGTATAAGTATTGTATATCTATATTACTCAAACAAAGATGTCGAACAAACACGTCATTGTACTCAAATATAATATAATGTCACTTTATTTTGAAGTTTTATTTCATCTATAAGAGACTTGTATTATAACTTTCGTGTGACATACATACTTACTAAATTAATTATTATGTGTTCGACTGCCTCGTTGGCAAGTGCGACTGCCTGGCAAGGGGTCTCGGATTCCCGGGTCGGGTAAAATATTACTGGGTTTTTAAAAATCTCAGTAGTAGCACGTAGTTTGGAATTGTGCCCGGTATATGGCAATAGGCTCACCCTCTATTACATGAGACCTATAACATAGAGGTAAATAGTGACAAGTGGGTGTTAGTGTTACATTGTAAAGTAGCATTAAATGCCGTAATGTGCACCTCTGCCTACCCCTTCAGTTGGTGCGGTGGCTGGGCAACTGGCTACCGTGCCACGTGTCGCGGGTTCGATTGCCTCACGGAACAACTCTGTGTGATCCACAGATTATAATTTCGTGTTTATGTGTGATGTGTATGTGAACTTGTATGTTTGCGAACACAACCACGACACAGGAGACAATCCTAGTGTGGGGCAACGATTTTTTTAATGCCTGTTGCGTCGCTAGCATACCTGGAAATGAGCATGCTACTTTTGAGCAACATTCCGATTACTTTTAACATAAAGCAAACTCGTACTAAGGGCTCATAGCGATGCGGTACTTCACGCCGGTACAAAGACTGCTTTTATATAAATCGCAAGTTCGCCCCCATATTGAGTTCTGCTCTCATCTCTGGGCAGGAGCGCCAGCATACCGGCTTGGACCTTTTGACGCGGTCCAAAGAAGAGCTGTAAGACTTGTTGACGATCCTATACTTACGAGCGGTATCGAGCACTTAAGTCTAAGGAGAGATTTTGCCTCCTTGTGCGTGTTCTATCGCTTGTATAATAGGTTGTGTTCTGCGGAATTGTTTGATATAATGCCCACGACCGTTTTCTATCATCGCACCACTTGCCATCGACAGGGAGTTCACACTCACACATTGGAGCCCAAATGGTCCCGCACAGTTCGGTTTCAGAGGAATTTTCTCCCACGGACCCTCCGATTGTTTTCCCAGTGGGCTACGACATGGGGTTCTTCAAGAGGGGAGTGAATAGGTTTCTTAATGGTCGGCAAGGCGCATGTAATGCCCCAAGTGTTGCAGGCGTACATAGGCCACGGTAACCGCTTACCATCAGGTGGACCGTGTGCTTTTTTTGCCAGTCGTGGTATAAAAAAAACTCTTCAGCAGTTTATAATAACTACCTTGTGTTTGGGTTTGTTTAATTTGTATTGATTGGAACTGTGCACCTATGTAGATTATAAGTGACAAAACGGATATATGTAGCTTTACACTCAAAATCTATATCTATATAAAAGAAAGTCGTGTTAGTTACACCACTTATAACTCAAGATTGGCAGAACAGATTTGGCTGAAAATTGGTGGGGAGGTAGATTAGAGCCAGGAGACGGACATAGGATACTTTTTAACCATTACTTTTTTTTTACTTTTTACCGAAAATCACGAACGGGGACGGGAAAAAATGGGATTACGCGTACGAAGTCGCGGGTAGAAGCTAGTGATAAAATAAAAACTGCGTTTAAAAAACCAAAAACTAATAACAAACAAATAGTAAAAACTAAAAAGTAAAGAATTATTATTATTAGGTCTGATAGCTTACTCATAGGTTAGAAGACCTTAATAGATACCGAATTTAAATTAAATTGTAAATTCGGTATGCCCTTATTGGCCACAAAATTGTAAATTCGGTATCTTCATTCGTCTTTCATCGGTATCGGTTATGTCATTATGATATGAGCTTATGGCACCGACTTCTAACTTATCAGTGGGTGGGTAACCTATCAGTACTAATAATAGTTATTTTTTGCTTTTTAGTTTTGACTTTTTGTTTGTTGTTCGTTTTTGGTTTTTTGAAGTCTGTTTTTAAACGCAGTTTTTATCACTGTTATGAGTCCCATGTAATAGAGGGTGAGCCTATTGCCATATACCGAGCACAATTCCGGACTCCGTGCTACTACTGAGAATTTTTAAAAAAGCCCAGGCGTATTTTGCGCGATTCGGGAATCGAACCCGAGGCCCTTTCAAAGTCAAAGTCAAAATCATTTATTTCAATTAGGCCAGAATGGCACTTTTGAACGTCAAAATAAAATTAATATTAAAAGTGAAGCTATTTGCTCGCTTTGCCCGGGCAGTCGCACTTGCGACCACTCGGCCAACGAGGCAGCCTTAGCCTTAAATATAATACTGTTAGTCTACCTCTATATTGTTGTTGGAAATTATTATAGGTAAATAAATTACAGTACCTTTACTGATTTTTTTTTATCAGTATTTTATCTGAAGAATTTCGATATCGAAAAACACAATAATACTTTTCGCAACTCTGTGATCAAATATTACAAAGGACCGAACTCATACGACATCTCATTCTTCCACGAAAAAAAACAAATATTCAACAATAACAACATGTATTTATTATTTAAAATAATGAAAAATAACTTATATTACCTTTCCAAATAAATAAGGTACTAAAACAATATTTCTTATACATAGAAATAAAAAATATGTACTCGCATAACTTGAAGCATGGAATTGTACGGTACTCGCCAACTAGTCAAATTCAATACATTTTCCGAACTGTCCAAAACGACAGTTTTCTATGATTTTGTACGAGATTGTGTATTGTGACGTCACGTTTTTTTAGCGTCAAACAGTATACTTAGTTCTTTAAAATTTGCTGGAAGAATACTAAAATTAAGTTGGTCATAAAATCAATTAAACTGTCAAACACCAAGCGGTCACCGGTGACCGCAACCTATTGTTCTATAATTGTGTCTATGATGACGGTACTCGACGAGTTAATGAGAGTGTGATTATTTTTTAATATTTTATTATATTGAACAGTCGAAATTATTAATTTTTTAATAAGGAAAGTACCTAAATAATATTGTCGTACATCCATTATAGCCAGGACAATGATTGTACGGATCGTACGGTTAAAGGTCAAAAGTCCACTGCCACCGTAAGACTACTATCGGTTATACACGCACACACGCATATTTGTATCCGTGTGCGTACGCGTGCGTGTGTATGCGTACGCACGCGTGTGTATGCACATAATATGAAATTACTTGCGCATTGCCGTGTGAACATCACTCACGGTGGCAGTGGACTTTTGACCTTTGACTGTACATTTTACCAAATCACCGGGAAATAGGAGAAAATTAGACATAGGTACATACAGTATCGTGAGCCATACTAAATTAATTATTATGTTTCGTCTTACTCACTGTTTGACGAGGAACTCGACCAGTTCCAAGCCATGCTAGAGGCTCATATTCATTACGGAGCCGCGGAGAACTTAACGTGTAACCGGGGCTCCGGCTCGACGTGCAGGAGTAGGAACGGGGTGGTTTTTAGTCAGTAAGAGTCTGACACTCCCTCCCGCCTCACCCAGGCGGGAGAAGTCATTCGATGATTCCCCCCCCCCCCAAAAAGAGGCTCATATTCATGGGCTTTCCACGACCTGCGACGCGGCGACTGTCGCCCTACCAACTCAGTACTCGTAGCAGCTCAACAGTGAATATGAGCCTCAAGCATGACTTGAAACCAGTCGAGTTCCTCGTCGAACGTGAGTAAGCCGAAAATATAATCATTACATCCATAACCTCACGCCTGTCTCCCATTGGGGTAAGCAGAGACTATGGAACGCCCAATCAATACGATTCTTACGCTCCCTCTTTCGCTTCATCAACAGTCATTTTATTTTTGTGGGGTTAGCCGGTGAACGAGCTGACGGATCACCTGATGGTAAGCAATCGGCGTCGGCCATGGACATCCGTAGCACCAGTGGCGTTACAAATGCGTTACCGGCCTTATGGGGATTAGATATTTGAGGATTGTGGGGCATTAGGGGATTGGGAAGACTGGGGAAGGGACTGGGGACTGGGGTAATTGGGCCTCCGGTAACCTCAGTCGCACGACGAAACACAACGCAAGCGTTGTTTCACGTCGGTTTTCCTTGCCTCCCCCTTTCTCAACCCCTGTATCTCAATCCTCAAATTTCTAATCCCAAACGGCCGGTAACGCACTTGTAACGCCTCTGGTGTTCCGTGTGTCCATGGGCGACGCCGATTGCTTACCATCAGGTGATCCGTCTGCTCGTTTACTGACTTATACAATAATTTGGTGAGCAAAAATAAGTTAGCCCCCATTTTGTACATAACATAACATCACGCCTTTTATCCCCGAAGAGGTAGGCAGAGGTGTACATTATGCCACTTTACAATGTAACACCCACTTTTCACTATTTATGTTATGAGTCCCATGTAATAGGGGGTGAGCCTATTGTACATATTTTGTACATTAACTCGTCGAGTACCGGTTTTGTAGACACAATTATAGAACAATAGGTTGCGGTCACCGGTGACCTCGCGGTGTTTGACAGTTTAAAGACTAAATAAATAATAACTAAACCTTACAACAAGGATTGACATTAGCACTATTACTATGATTCTGACAACACCTTCTCTCCTGCTTCTCTTGCTTCTCTTCCCTTCTGCCCTTGCCAGCTAAAGGACGGTCCCTTTCATCCCAAACTACAACACCGTCGCACGCGCATATACGCTTTGGATTTTGGAACACGCCTGCTGAACGAGCGATTATACCACACGCTATTCTGTGAAAATATAATAAAATCACACTATACATAACATAACATAACATCACGCCTTTTATCCCCGAAGGGGTAGGCAGAGGTGTACATTACGGCCCTTAATGCCACTGTACAATGTAACACCCACTTTTTACTATTTATGTTATGAGTCCCATGTAATAGGTGGTGAGCCTATTGCCATAATTATACCGGGCACATTTCCAGACTCCGTGCTACTACTGAGATTTTTTTTTAAAAAACCCAGTGTTACTTTGTCCAACCCGGGAATCGAACCCGAGACCCCTTGCCCGGCAGTCGTACTTGCGACCACTCGGCCAACGAAGCAGTCTACTCTCAATCACACTATACTATTATAGATTTGAAAAGTTTTACAAACATGGTCAGTTTCAACTTCATAGTTACTGTAGTTTCAGCTGTGCGTTGTCTGTCAGTTAGTTAGTTAGTTAGTCAGTCAGTCAGTTGGGCAATCACTTAGTCAGTCAGTTAGTTAGGCAATCACTTAGTTAGTCAGTCAGTCAGTTAGTTAGGCAATCACTTAGTCAGTCTATCAGTCAGTTAGTAAGGCAATCACTTAGTCAGTCAGTTAGTAAGGCAATCACTTAGTCAGTCAGTTAGTAAGGCAATCACTTAGTCAGTCAGTTAGTAAGGCAATCACTTAGTCATTCAGTCAGTCGATTAGTTAGGCAATCACTTAGTCAGTCAGTCAGTCAGTCAGTTAGGCAATCACTTAGTTAGTTAGCCAGTCAGTCAATCAGGCAATCAATTAGTCAGTCAGTCAGTTAGTTAGGCAATCACTTAGTCAGTCAGTCAGTCGGTCAGTCAGTCAGTCAATTAGTTACTTGGTTAGTCAGTCAGTCAGTCAATCAGACAGTTAGTCAATCAGTAATGGAGGATTTTTTGAAATAGTATACTCACGGTGTCCCACTGTCGCCATCTATCTTCGAAGAGGGTGAACAGCCTCGTCCGAGGTCGTCCTTTCTTTCAGTCACAGCCACCGATCGGCCGATTATATCCCAAACCTGTAATTATGAAGTAAAACAAGAGTTTTAACGAATTACGTATCTAATTATAAGTTTGAATTCGTCAACCCGCATTGAGCAAGCGTGGTGATTAACGCTCAAAGCTTCTCCGTGTGAGAAGAGGCTTTTGGTCAGCAGAGGGCACTTATAGGCTGTTGATGATGATGATGATGATGGTTAACTAGCCCGCGCGGTTTTACTCGCTCTGGTCGGTGCCTATTGATCGTAGCGAGATGTTTTATAGCCTATAGCCTTCCTCGATAAATGGAATCTCCTGAGTCGTGTGTACGTTTACAAACATACAAGTTCACATACACATGACACCCAGACACGGAACAACAATCTGTGGATCACATAAAGAGTTGTTCCGTGCGGGAATCTAACCAGGGACACGTCGCACGGCAGCCAATTGCCCAGCTACGACACAACCGATTGTCAGTAACAACTTACCTTCAGGACATTATCGACTATTCTAAAGGTAGCGCGTCCGTTTTCATCAGCGATTATATTGCCAAGGTCACCGGCGTGGCGCCTGTCTTTCGGGTCTTCTGGTCCCCCGTGCGGAGCCCCGCAAGGATTGAAGTGCTCCCCTATAGATTTGCAACCCTGAGGATGAAGAAATATAACCTTTTTATAATTACTATCGTGAGACATACTAAATTAAGTAAAATCGCGGGTTGCTCACGTGAATATACTGAGAAAAGCTACTAGTTTCAATCCTCAGAGGGGTTCTTCCTGCGGCGCGTTAGACGATGTTAAAGCGCACGCCGGAGTTGGAAGCAAACGATCGTGGTGTCCGGCAGAGGGCGCGGCGGGCTCAAGGCGCAAGTACCAACACCGAGGCGAGCACCAACGCCAGCCAGTAGGCTGCGCGACGTCGCCGCGACCGCGCACGCTGCTCATGAGGAAGAACCCCTCTGTGGTTCGAAACTAGTAGAGCTTTTCTCAGTATATTCACGTGAGTAACCCGCGATTTTAGGTAAATTATTAAATTTTAAGTAAATTTCTCTACTAGGACTAGCTGAACCCGCAACTCCGTCTGCGTTTTTCTAAAATAAAAGTAGCCTATGTTACTCCTTAATACATTAACTACCTGCCAATAAAAGTTTCGTCAAAATCAGTCGAGCCATTCCAGAGATTAGTCAGTACATAGGTCTCTAATACTCGCTAATTTTTGTTTGTTTTTAGTAAAAAATATAAAAAGTGTTATTTTAGTATATGCAGCGTCAGTGGCGTAGCTAGGGTGGGGCGGCAGGGGCTAGAGGCCCGACTACTCCAACCTCTCACAGGGAACAGGAATCAGCCTGGTTCGTGCGGCCTAGCGCCCCCAGTCGAGGACTGAGAGACAACTACAGAGCTAACTGTTGGGCAGAAACCCCGCCAGGCACGTACACCTCGCCTGGGTGCTTACTCTTGAAACCAATCTCAACGTCAATGCAATTTCAATCCAATAAAATCTCAATAATTACTCAATGTCAAAACTATATAACATCTATCGTAGTTGTTACAATAGCATTCAGAGTACGGAATATAAAGACAAACTCAATACCATTTAGTTCATTCAATATCCACGCAATACGGATGCAATGGGCGCTAGTGTTGCACCTCAAGAGTACGACACAATATCAATGTCGATCGATCGGAATTGGATTTAAGAGTAAGCCCCAGTGGCGTAGCATATAAAAACTTGTTTGGGGGCCCTTATGAAAGGTAAAAATTTCTCAGAAGACATTTTTTTACATAATATTATGGGAAGCTTTCCTGTTTTAACTTAAGACCGCTTTGCCCAAATCATCGGACAATGATTACTTTAGTTATTCCAAAGTTTCTGCCATGGAATAGATTTCTCAATTCCATGGTTTCAGCCAACCTTTGTACGTATACATTTTGTGATTACTAATATAAAATATGAATTGAGAAATTTTTATATTTTTGCTTACACACGTTGGGGGCCCCATACAATTGATACGGCAGATACGGCGCAAGCTACGCCCATTATAAGCTCCCTGGTTGGAGAATCCTCCTTTTCTGAACTTAGGGAACTTTACTCTCCGTTTCCTTGACTGATATTTATCTTTGAATACCGTCATTATAGACACAATTATAGAACAATAGGTTGCGGTCACCGGTGACCGCGCGGTGTATGACAGTTTAGTACATTACACACCTGGCTCAAATCCCCAGCAGTATGCACATGAACGCCGTGCATACCCGCCGGCAGCCCGTCGATGCTGCCGTCAGCTACCAGCGCGCCTTCCTCCGTCTGCTGGAACCTGATCACTCCTAACACCTGCCTTTTGCAGCAAGACTGACTTGAGATCATCGCTACTGCTGATTGCGTTTCTGGGGGGAGGGAAATTGAAAGTTAATTTTGTGAAGCAGGCTTTAACTCGTGCACAATCCCTGTGACATAGGATATTCTTCCTATAGTCAGAATTTTAATTAGATTCCAGATTTGACATTAGCTACTGTCATTTTGTGAAATAATGATACCACATATAATAGTGTAGTGATGAACATAAAAATCGATAAACAATCAGTGTGTGTGTTTTATAATAAATGTTACAGAAAGTGACAGGATAGCGATAGCGACAACGGCGACAATTTTTAAAATACCTTATTATCATAATACATCTATCTGTTTTATTTATCATGTTCCTTCATGATTACATTTTTTTATTTATTTCACACACAATTATAAAAGAAAAGTCTCATATCGTTAATTAATCGTCAAAACTAAATTATCGGTTCAGAAATATTAAATTTCCTGATATACTTAGTTTACAAGAGTAAAAATATAAACGAGAAGAATCGATCCAGAAATATTGCATTTTCATATCGAATAATTTCGCAACGTCACTATTTAGTACTTGTCATAACGTCACAACACTGAAATTATCAAATCTGGAATCGAATTAAAATTCCGAGTGTAGTACAGACAGGTGTGGCGACACATGTCACAAGTCAACGGATGACGATTGACGTCATAAAATCCTACATCGCACATGCGAAGTTTACATTCGATTTAACACGAGTAGAAAATCCCAACGAACGACTGTTGGCACCCGTCTGACGCCGCGTGAGACTCCCGGCCGCCCGCCGGCGGGTCAGTAGTCTCCGCCCCCACCGGACACGACCGCGCGCCGCTACCAGCCCGCCGCCGCCTGCTGTAGCAGGCAGCGAGCGCATCCGCCGAAACAGACATCGGTCTGGATCTCGCGACCTCGCGCCCCCAGCCGGGGACGCCGAGAAGAAGCCGACGACGACGACTGTTGGGCAGAAAGCCCGCCAGGCACGATCACCTCGCCTGGTCGGAGGATCCTCCTTTTCCTTGGATTTGGCTTATTGGGGATTAGGAGTTTGAGGATCGTTGGGATTCAGGGATTGGGGAAATTGGGGAAGGGGAAGGTAATTGGGCCTCCGGTAACCTCACTCACACGACGAAACACAACGCACGCGTTGCTTCACGTCGGTTTTCTGTGAGGCCGTGGTATCACTCCGGTCGAGCCGGCCCATTCGTGCCGAAGCATGGCTCTCCCACACTTTATTAATTTTACACCTATATTAATATTAAAAAACAAACAATTATTCACCTCCAAACCCCTGCAACACGGCTCTTTTCCCAGAGGTTTTAGACACCATCTCCAGTACTTGTGTGCTAGGTAACAGGGTCTCAACTAATATGGCTCCGTCCTTAAACACAGCGTCCTTTACTCCCTCATGGGATTTCAATTCTGTCAGGGTCTTGTTCAGAACAACATCGTCTGGCTTCGGACCGAAGTCTACTAGGACTTCCAGCTGAAATGGGCAAATTGATTTTTTTAACAGACTTCAGAAAACAAGAAGGTTTTAGTTTAAACAGAAATGTTTGTGCGCAACTATCTGGTGATTGGCTGAATTTGTCAGTGGGTTGTCTTCTTGTCCTAGGGGTGGAGTAACCGAATTTTATGCGGTTTTCAGAAGTGTTTGTTGCACTGAAGAGAAAAAAACTTAGACAGTGACTAAAGTTCTTAGGGGATCAAATAAATATCAATATCTTATCACCCTTGAGAAACCTCAAAATGAATAAAAATAAAGACAATAATTTCAAACTTCTTGATACATAATAATTATCATAACATACCTAAATAATTAGTATTCTTCAAATTATAATATATGCTGTACATGCTCGGTACAACTACAAGGAAGTGTAACATAGCCAATAGCCATGACCTTTGCCTCTAGTTTACATGAATTAAAAAAAAGAAAATGTAACCATAGTTGTTTTCATTCGTCCTTCGGTAATAAAAGACAATTTACGTAGACTTAATAATGGTAATAAAACTTCTATATTCTTCGTAAAGTGAATAGATATCGTCTCAAGGTTATTAACAAACTATTTAAACTGCAAAGTCATGTAAAATATGCACAAATTGTTGATTGTTACTACTACATTAACGTAAGTTTTGTTTTCGTAAATAAGTTAAAAAAACTTACCTTAGACATCAACATCTTGGTGCACAATAACTTAGAACACTATAAAAGATTATAGTAATTGGAGAATATTCAATTATAATGCAATTCTTATCAGCTGTCGGTATTTTTCTCGAATAAAAACAAATCGACGTGCGTGCGCGAGAACAGTGACAATGACGTATGCGTTTCGTTTTACGCTCAACCGCATAGTCCGCATAATTCTCTTTAGTAATGTTCGCAATCGATTATGAAAATGTTTTTAGATTTCATTCTTTTTTTAAAAAAAATCTTTGCTATGCTCTGGGATTTCCTAGTGTATTGTTGGTGTGTTATAAGTAAACATAATATAACATCACGCCTTTTATCCTCGAAGGGGTAGGTTACATACATTAGAAATGCCACTGTACAATGTAACACCCACTTTTACGAGTCCCATGACTCGTCGAGTACCGGTTTTGTAGACACAATTATAGAACATTTTTTTTTTTTTTTTTTTTAAGGGGGGAAAATCATCGAATGACTGCCCCCGCCTGGGTGAGGCGGGAGGGAGTGTCAGACTCTTACTGACTAAAAACCACCCCGTTCCTTCTCCTGCACGTCGAGCCGGAGCCCCGGTTACCCGTTAGGTTCTCCGCGAC